AATTGAAAGCCCTAGTGGACCATATTTCGGCAACGGATTGATGGATTTTGATTAAAAAAATTGATCATTATTTATTACACAAAAAGGAATAACTTTTGTCATGAACATGTTCTTCTATTTGCCAATGTTTCCCATAAAAAAAAATCATCAAAAAAACCACTTAATTTGTTTATAACTATTAATTGCACGCACTTACATAAAAAACACCACCGGATTCGGATTTCTCATACCCGAAAACATAAGAAAACACCTCAAAACCTTACCGCACTAGAAGTGCTCACGGGAAGGGGGTATTTGGTAATGTTCTATTTGTATGTTCAACTACTCGGCCCAATGATGTAATTCAGCAATTAAAATGTAGTGGAAGACTTTTGAAAAATTAATGGATAATTGACATAGTCAATTCTTGATGCTTAAATTTGGAAAAATTGTTACACTTCCGAAAAATAATTATTACATTATAACATTATGAATCTTTCTCCTAAAATAGAGTTTCTAAGCTGTTCAGATTTTCACAGTGTTTTCTGACGATTGAAAATAGCCAGCCAAACGAAGACCCTCAAAATTCACATAATGAAAACACTCCGGAATGTTGGATAACCTAGGGTCAAGTGGGGCTTGAATAGAAGCCCTGATATGCAACTCCATATCATTGGCAACTACTTATCACTACGCAGATATAACCAAGGATTTGTACGCAATAAATACCCAAAGTACTTGAATAACTTGATCCATTCATTCTACGTTGTAGAATAAAAATAAATACATTGAATGCATTGAATAAATCCATTGAATTTTATTCTTCATTTCCATGTTCACAAATCTTCTGTTAAAATCAAGTGAGAATTCGTAGAAAATAAATAAGAGAATGAGAAAATAAATCCAACTTCATGAGGTGTAAAAAAGCTGTTGATGATTTTCTTTTAATCAACATATCTCACACAGTTTTCACCCCTTCATTTACCGCTGGAATTATTTATTCTCATGCAGCTGGCGATGAAAAACAAATATTAACGCACGCGAATGAGTTTCAAACCTCGGGGATGTAACACACATCCCAAATGGGTAACAAAGTATTAAAATTCCACAGGCATCCTGAAAACAATTGCAAAATTCTCCCAGCCGATGATTTATTATTCAATGTAAAACCGAATTATTTCATACATCATATTATCATAATGAGATTAATAATTCGGCACGATGAGTGAATAATTAATTAGTCTTGATTAATTTTTTTCACTCAAGGTACGGCGGCTGGTCATTATCCCACTGGAAAGATGATCCATTATTTGTGGTTTGGTTCAATAACAAAGGACACCATTCATTACCAGCGTATCTCAATTCGCTGAATGGCGCGATTTTACGGGCGTCTGGGGTGCCCGGCCGTATAACAACTTTTAATCATCCACTGAAGTTATCCAGTGACCAACTGAATCGCACCAGTGTGTGAGTATTAAATAACAACTCTTGTTTTTCAAGTGAGACTGTTCTATTCTGTGATTCCGAAAAATTTTGCGATAAAGTTTCTGCGGGCCCGGATATTGTCGAATAAAACTCGTGATCCCGAACCGTGCGAGTCATAACATTGCGAGAACGATATTGTTGCGGATATTTAGTTGTTCATGGCGGGACTTTTTATGACTTGTCATTCACGAGGCAGTAGGCTACACACGTGATTGAGAGTGTTTTTCAAAGTCGGATAGGCGGACCCATTCACAGTCACCGACCGAAAGATTGACGGCTTCAACTTTTCGCTTCCGAGTGGAAGCATTGTAATCGTTCAAATTTAAGTTTTGGATTTTTTGTGTTATTATATTGATTCATTATGATTCAAAAAGTCCGGAAATGCAATTTTTGGACCGTGTCCGTACACGGAGAAGAATTTTTTATAAAAATTATCCTATGGTTGTATAAAAGTGTATCATGAATCATCGTTTCCTCATTTCTATCCTGAAATTTAGTAAAAATTAAGATATGATGATCAAATTTTATTCTACGTTAGAGAAAGTTTATCCTGACGCATAATAGATTGTACCCTTCCAGTCCAATAATTTTTATCTAGATAACAACGAAAATTTTAGAACGGTTGGTAAATTTTACCCTACCGGTACAGTAATTTTTACTCTACCGGGACGGTAATTTTTATTTTTATTAGGATAACATTTCTCTAACGTAGAATAAAATTTGATCATCATATATTAATTTTTACTAAATTTCGGGATAGAAATGAGGAAACGATGACTCATGATACACTTTTATACAGCGGTAGGAAAATTTTTAACAAAAATTTCTCTCCGTGTACTGAGAATTGAATCTTTTTTTTTCAGATGCAGATATTGTTGAGCTCTATCGCTCGCCATTAATTAAAATTTAATTCATCCATTAGTTTTTTCAATTTTTGAATTTTTTCGAAAATCGGTTGTCCCAAGATAACTAAAAAAAATGTTCCGAATTGATTGAATGATGGCTTGAAAAAATTGTTTGGATGTTCCTTTGGTCGAGCTCGAAGATGAAGGCGATAGCAATACTCGTTATTTTGATTTATTTGAAAATTTTCAAAAATTATGTATTTTTTGAAAATCAGAATTCCGGGGATATCTTTCAATATCATGCTCCAAATGAATTGAATCACAGCGTAAAATGTTTGGTTTTATGCCATTAAGTCGAAGTTAAAAGATTATTATGATAGCTGTATTGGTTGATTTGATTTTTATGATGATTGTTGAAAATTTTGAATTTTTCATGAATTTCCCTGAAAGTGAGCTTTCTGATGGTTTCTTCAAATGTGATGTTTCAAATTCATTCAAGTATGTGTAAATAAAATTTATCTATGAACATTTTATCGAAGGGCTGAAGGGAGAGATAGAACTGTAAAAAAGACAATCGGTTGTACAGAAGACAAGGGATAATAAGAATAATGATGCTGATAACATTCAACCAAGTTGAAAATCTGACAAAATTTAGAAAAAGAGAATCGTATTGAATTTAATAAAATGAAATAAACAGTGAATGATACATGATCATATTGCCAATTTATTATGCTTTTTTCATATACAATTTATCCTCGTCTTCGCGACAAATACAAAATCTCTTAACGAAAGTTTTTGTTTCCTCGGTGTAGCGGGAGATATTCATAATCCTTAATCTTCAATGCGAAATTGTGCTTATGCTACTTACAAACTGGTCGAGAAGAAGTCAATCTCGTGCGCAGAAATTGATGACACATTTTTCAACCTCCCCTTCGGAGCCAGCCAATCGATTAATATAATCCTCTCCGTAATCCTCTACTCAATGGGACCACCTCTTGAATTATTGACATTGCATTTTATCCCTGGGCGGACTCAATGGGCTTACATAGAGCGCTTTGTACCTCTCATGTAAAGACGTGCATGTATGTTGGGCACGTTGTTACAACTTTTCGAGAGCAAAAAATTCAAAACTTCGGGGGTTACGTTGTGTAAAGTCGCAGTGATGTAGACAGCAAACAGTGTTTCCAACTCTTGCATTGGGCTCAACTCAAATTTTTCCCGGGGGACAATTTGTGTGGCGGAAAATTAGTAAATACACTGGCCTCAAATAAAAATTTTAATGAAGGCGCATGTTTAGAGGACTCAATTTTTTGAACAAATATAAATGTAAATAAGACATCCCTGGGAATAGATACATGTTTTCATTCAATATTTGTACTTTCGTGGGAAAAAAATTAATTTTCCACTCAGAAAATGCTTATACGGAGAGGGAAGTTGAATAAAAGTACTAGAAAATCGCGACTAATTTCACTATATGAAAGGTAATCGGAGAGCGAAATTGTAGTTCAATAAAAAATACCTTTTGCGAAGGACATGGGAGATTAAAAATAATTGATTTCCAGTCTCTATATCGACTCCAACCACATTCACTTTTTCTAATAAAAAATGTTAATCACGCACCGCAGTCTCGTCTACTCCGCGAATTATTCCACTTTCTTCTCCCCAAATTTTTGTGGAAATCAATCCGCGTACCAGAGGACGAGTGAATATCCTAGGATCCAATAAAAATTGTCAACGTAAACAAATCCCTTTTTTACAGAGAAGAAAATATCTTCATTTAATATTTGGATTTCTGTGAATTAAAAAATTCGATGTCAACATTCTCTAAAATGAAAGCCTTTTACGAATTTAATATTCCCACCCAAACGCCCTCAGATACGAATCAAAATGACATTGTACCCCACTGCACACGGTAAATCCCACAAAGATAAAAATAATTGATTCCCAGTCTCCATATCGACTCCAACCACATCAACTTTTTCTAATAGAAAATGTTAATGACCCACTGGAGTCTCGTTCACTACAAAAATTATTCCGTTTTCCCTTTCCTCCGCGGATAGTAGAGGTCTCAAGAGGCAGACACTCGCGTTTCTCGTCCACGACTCGTTAAACTTCTGTTTGCCTTCGGACTTGCCAGGGTTCATGGGACTTTGTAATTGCTTTTCCAAGTTGAGTCTGTTCGCTTTTTCTCGTGGGAGTCGGGGGGGTTTGAACGACTCACAGTCAAAGAAAAGAAAAGTACAATGAAATATGGAAAGCCGGTGGAAGAGCTCACCCAAAACAGTATCAATTACTCCGTTAGATGAATGATCAGAGGAACTTCAATTTACAGTTGAGGTATCCCTCATTGCTGATGTATAAACTGGGATTATTTGCAGGCTCCAGCACGTGGCGGATGTTGGAATTGCTCTGGTGCTGTTGATTGCCTTCAGTCTGGTTGCTGCGCAAGGTGCGAAGGAACTTGTGAGAGAAAGATTGTCCGAGGAGAAACGTATTCTGTATCTCGCAGGAGTCCATCCTGTTACCTATTGGACAACTGCATTTGTCTGGGATCTTCTTGTTTTCCTTTGGTCAATTGCACTCGCTGTCATTGTTTTCGAAATTTTTGGATTACCGGCTTACGTTGCGAGAGACAATCTGCAAGGGATTGTTCTTCTTCTGGTGCTTTTTTCGTAAGTCAACATCATTATGCATCAATTACCGGTGTTGGGAAAAAAATCACCCTTACGCTCTCATTCATATGATTTCACCTCAATTTATGTATGGAAAATTCATATTGAATGTGAAATATCTAGATGAAAACATCGCACGTTCACTGGAACATTTATTGAATACCTGTTTGAATTTCATAGGAATTGCACTCTTTTGTCCCCATTTATATTAAAAATTATATTTCGCTTTTTTAAGGTATTTGACAGACGTAAGTTAATAGATTACTTTACAATTATGCCAACCGTTTCCGTTCATCATTAAAAACTCCTCACTTCTCAGCCAAACGATCATTATACACTGTTAGAAATTTTTTAAATTTCGAGGAAGATATAGTAAATTGCAAGAGAGTGACATTGAATCGCATTTAGGGAAAAACAGGTTATGAAATTTCAAGATTTAGGTAGAATTCACCTGAAAATTGGGAAAAACTAATCGAATCAAAGTAAGTTGACTACACTGTTAGAACATTACTCTTGACATTTTATGTGAAAAAGCTTGAAATTTTTAACAACGACAAAGTTACATGAAATTTCTGGATATTTATCCATTGACGAATCAGTTAATTTCTTGAATATTCAAGTAATTCTCGATTTCCAAATCCATACGGTACCGGAAAACCTTGAAAATTTTGAAAATCCGGGCAACAACTTTTCTTAATTCTCAATCTGTTGAAAATTGAATTGTACGTAATGTTAAGTTTTCACGATGAGTTTGGAAATTCAAGCTTTCATTGAAAAATCAATGATTGTTTAATATGAAAAACCCAATTTTATTGAATTTTCAAGATGAACGAGAAATGTAGTGAACACTTTCATTTGAAATTGAATTCAACCTCACAATATTGAAAATTCAGATGACACAGTGACTGAAAATTCAAGAAATTTCTAACAGTGTACTTCAATTTTTTTCGCATTTCATGATTTTTCCGATTTCCGGGTGATTTCAAATCTAAAAATCATCCTATTAAAATTTCCGTTTGTAGCTTTCTTCATTCTAGTATTTTGGACATTGTGTAACGATTTCAAGGTGATCGGATCATTTTTATTCACTTTGTAGACTTTTAGGGATCGAAATCGTGTTTTTTTATTTTTTTGAATTCTGACATTTAATATTGTGACTTAATTTGATAGATATCATTACAAGGAATTTTTGAGATACTGCTGTATTTTCTTCTTCACTGTAACACCATAATTTGTAGGGAATAATAACAACCCTTGACTTCCTCCTACCAAAGATCTATTGAAAAATTGCACTGGAAAATTATATAATTTTCAGTACAAAATTATAAAAATCAAATATAGTTCCCCAAGAATGCATCAAGTTTTCTTTGAATTGATCCATTCTTGAATGTTTACATGGAGATTAGTTCATCCGCTTAATTTTCATAAATGAGATATGATCGTCTCATTCTGCGAAATGCAGTCTATAAACTTTACTTCCCAAACACCGGAAAAAATGTTCTTCAAACAATAAACTTTTTCTCTGCGCATCAACCCACATTCACACCCACCGAGTGAAGCTCTTTCCCAGCAGAACAAATCGATGAAATCCCCAGCGTAGTATTTACGAGACTCCCGAAATATCGAAACTAAATGTGATTACCCAACTCACTTGTTTTTATTGATTAAAAAAAATACCGGTATCAATAGTAATATATTATCCCCTCAATGCTCCGATATTTCATGCACCAGTCATTTTATTGAAATATCTCAGCATCTATAGGTGAAATTGATATCCAGTGATGTTTGTTTTAATTGAAAATTCGAATTTCACTCGAGCCATGAAAAATTATTCGAAAGCGAATTGGCGCAACACATCAATTTTTCAAATAATGAAATATAAGGGAAAACATTTCTGCACGAGTGTATTTTTATCCAATTTTTCAGTTGGGCATCAATTCCGTTCAGCCATTGTATGGAAAAAACCTTCGATGACGCCAGCCTGTCCAACATGGTTCTCTTCTGCCTCAACACATTTGTCGGAGTAATCTGTCTGGCAACCATCCTGGTGATTGACATAGTCGGAAAAAGTCAAGCAGCAAAAGACACACGCGAACTACTCCATAATTTGATGTTATTTTTCCCACAATACGCACTAGGTGATGCCCTCGTGCAGATGTCAACAAATGACATCACAGCTGAACTACTCGAGAGATTCAACATGGATACGTACAAGTCTCCGCTCGGCTGGTCGCTCATAGGACAGCATTACGTATACCTATTCACAGTTGGTGTTGTATTCTACCTGGTCAACATAGTGATAGAGTGCCGTCTCCACCCCTTCCGCAAAAAGGAAAGTCCAGTGGTTGAAAAAATCACCGATGAGGACGAAGACGTTTCAATGGAGAGAATACGCGTGGAGAACAGTGCTGACAGAGACATAGTTAAAACGGTCAGACTGAGAAAGGAATATCGCAGTGTTTACGGCAAAAATATAGCCGTTAAAAACCTGAGCTTTGGTGTACAAGCTGGCACTTGTTTCGGTTTGTTGGGCATTAATGGCGCTGGTAAGAGTACAACCTTCAAGATGTTAACAACAGAGATAACACCGACATCGGGTAAGATTATACTCAAGGGCCACCAAGTGGGCTTGAAGCCACTCTGCAATGGTGAAATTGGCTATTGCTCTCAGACTGATTCTCTCGATGGATTCCTCACTCCTCATCAGTGCTTAACTATTCACGGACAAATCTGCGGATTAACTGATGTAACCAGAGCCGTTGTCTCCATACTCAGAAGATTCGACCTATTAAAGTACTCCCATCAACGAGTCTCCAGTTTAAGTGGTGGCAATAAGCGGAAATTGTGCGCAGCAATTAGTGTTATGACTCCTGTTTCGGTTGTTCTTATGGACGAACCGACCAGCGGTATGGATCCAGCATCCAAGGAGCTTGTGGCACGTGCTATTCACCAAGTTACTCAGACCGAGGCCTGCGTTGTTATGACGTCTCATAGTGTGGCTGAGTGTGAAAAATTGTGCAGTCGAGTTGGAATTCTAGCACGCGCCGGACTACGATGTATCGGAAGCCCTCAGCATCTTAAACACAAGTATGCATAGAGGCCTGTTGGCTGGTCTTTTTGCCCATTGTGTTCTCGTCTTGCTATTCATATGAACACGAGTGCACGCCCCCATGTAAATACAAGCCCACTTCCGCCCTGACAAACAAAACTCCAATTAAAATGCATAACGGGATCAATTAAAGCATTTTTCCCGCATTTATCGATGTTGTTCAGCGAAATAATTGGTTCGTTTATTCTGATTACTAATCAGTTAATAATAACTTTCAATGGGGGACGGGAGGGGGAAGGGAAGAGTGAATGGACGGGAAAATGACCTTAATGAAGAATAAGCCATTAGCTTGAGAGGGATTAAGTGAAGATTCCTTTGATAACAAAATGCTACGGCAAGATTGAAACGCATTAACCGACGGGAAAAGCGGAGGAGACACAAACGAAGGACCACTTTGTCACTTATTCGTTTTAATTGGGATACATTACACGCCTGGAATATAATATCTCCACGGGTTTTCCTTCATTCTATCTCAACTGCATCGCCTCTTCGACCATACTCGGGGGGTACTTAATGCACACTTGCGCAGACTCACTAACAGAATAACGTATGACGTCATAAATATTTAAACTCGCTTACCCGCCCTGCCTTTTTTATTTTTCCTTTTTTTGTTCGCCGTATCCTGAATCCGTTCGTTTCGTACGAGGTACGTGTACCCAAAATCGACTGGGGTAAAGATTTATGAGGGAGTGTCATTCATGATTTATCCGTAAATCCCGTCCCTCTGATTATGTTAAATTTTCATTATTACAGGTACGGCGAGGGTTACGTAGCTTTTTTGAGATTTCCACGATCAATTGTTGTCAATGAATTGGAGGATGTGATATATCGGTATTTTCCGATGGCTCAGGTAGGTTACCGGGCAAAATTGCGTACGTAAATTTCAACACACGGATTTAACACAGGCGTTTTCAACACTTGACATTTTAACGTGTAATAATTTAACACGGGTGTAGGTTTGTGTGTGTATTTGAAGTTTTGTGTCAATTGAGGAATTAGTAACAGGATGAATCAGAGTATTCGAGTATTTCTGGATCCTCGGGGTAATTGAAATTTAATGCAGATTTAGGCCTCGATCACTCGCACAATGAGCGCGGCGCCGCGGGTTTTCGGTTTTTTATATTTTAACGTGTTTCTAGAGACTTAAAAATCCACTTAAAAATTATAAAAAATTAGAGTTCCTAGGTAAATTTTTTTATTAAGCATTGGCTACATCTGTTCTTTTTCTCGGTAAATTTGTTTAGCTAAAGAAAACAAAGAAACATGGAATTGACAGAAAAACGGCGCTGCGCTGCCGCAATCGACAGTGTTGCTACATTCACTGTCGCTTGCTTCATGTGTGCTGTGTATAAGCGCCAACATGGCAACAGCGCGCGCGGTGTAACCCAGCGGCGCTGCGATAACCGTGTGATGGATGAAGGCTGGCGGCCGAGCGAGAGTGATCGAGGGTTAATACAATTCAATAAAGATAATATTTTTTGTGATTATGAGTATTGGGAGTTGATTTCAAAGACTGTGAAGACTGTGAAGTGTTCTGTAGTATGATATTATTTTGTTGTGATTAGTTCAATTGCAATTTGATATCAATTTATTGAATTTGCCGTTTTACTGATTTATATGTTCTCATTTATTGATGCAATTCACTGTATTGTTGTTCTTGTTTTTTGATTTTTCATTAAATGAATTCTCATGCCAAAGGTAAATATTTAGTGATTTCGAAGACTGCACTGTTAGAAATCTATTGAAATTTAAATCACAATGTCATCTGAATTTCGAATGCCGTGTGGTTGAATTCAATTTCGAATGGAAGCGTTCACTAAATTTCTCATCCATCTTGAAAATTCAAGAAAATTGGGTTTTTCGTGTTAAATAATCATTGATTTTTCAATGAAAGCTTGAATTTCCAAACTCATCGTGAAAATTGAATATCAGATACAACTCAATTTTCAATAGATTGAGAATTTAGAAAAGCCTGAATTTATTGCCTGAATTTTCAAAATTTTCGAGATTTTTCAGTGCCGTTTGGATCTGAAAATCGAGAATTACTTGAATATTCAAAAGATTAACTGATTCATCGATGAATAAGTATGCAGAAATTTCATGTAACTTTGTCATTGTGAAAAATTTCAAGCTTTTTCACGTAAAATTTCAAAACTAATTTTCAGTTTGTGTTGAATGTGTGTGTTGAATATTTTTGTATTATGTTTTGTTTGTCCTGAATTGGCTCGTGTTAACATTTACGCGTATCATTTTGCCATGTAATCCTCAGGTATTCTCAAGACAGGCCAAAGCAGCGCGATTACTGATACCGCAGAACGAAGAGCTGTTGCTCAGTGAAATTTTCACAAAGTTGAAATGCCTTGCTTGTGACTTGAAAGCAACAGACTACACACTCACCCAGAGCTCCTTGGACCAGGTACGATGATTTTACGATACATTCATATTTATAGTTTGCATGGGAAATTCAACACCATACTGTGGCTTTTACCACTTAACTCGCTGGGTGTAGACGTATTACCGTGACGTTACTCACAATGCCGGGTTTAAAGAATATTAATGGAGGCCATCTTGGGTTGCGAACTAAGGGGACATACCTGAACAGGCGAGCAACCCTCGGTGACTCCAGCCATACCGTGTCCAGCACTCACAGTGCTAATATACCCGACTAATGTCCATAGTTACCTTTTTCGCGTCCCATCTTCGTAACCACTTTTCTGCATAAAAGGGGGAAAAGGAGATTCCCTTTGTGAGACAGGATCTCACTGAGAAGCTGGGTAATTCGATAGCACTTTGATGAAATATCAACTATTATTCTTCTCTTTATTTTGTAAGGGTAGAAGGGCTCGATGCACGGAAAAATAAGAAATTTATTGGAAAGTTCGGTGATCCTGAGAAAAAATTATGAAGGAAAATATGTTATTACGTGATCTTGTGGGAAACAATCGAGGCTTCATTAATTGTTAATAGTCTTTACAGAAGATAGATGGATAGAAGTGTTTTTTTATTGAATGATAGAACCTACGAATAGTCATGTAATTTTCGTCAAAAAGAATTACTTTCGGCGAAAGTGAAAAAATTGAATTGTCTTCGATCGTAATCATGAGGAGACAGGATATTTATTTTAATGGATATTTTAATGGTATATTCGAATTAACATCCGATTAATGAAAATCCCATAAATGAGCGAAGTTGCTTTACATCTTCACGCGGCATTCATCCGATCATAACTTCTTTAGTCCTTACTCACCACATACAATACAGATTAATAACATCTTCAGCTACATCTTTATTCTGTTGGAATAGTGAGTCCACAGAGTAACGATGTAACTGAAGATGTTTTAAATTAGTAAAATATAGGTTTTTTTAAATAGAGATTTCAAGTGTAATTGCAACAATGCCTAACCATTACCCTCAATACTCCCTATGAGTGGATAGAAACTAAATTTGTTGATCCTATTTAAAAATATTTGATAAACGAATGATATCCTAGTTGGGTGACGAAAAAAATTGGATAAAAATCAAATGTTAAACAATGGGATTTGTAAACGAGAAATCCTGATAATCTTTTTTCGCGTTCATCTCCGAGTTGATAAACTTATGTGTAAAATCGTCATATTATTAGGGTCTTCTTCTCAAATGTGACACTTTGATGATGATGGAATTTATCATTGTAATTTCTGCATGAGATACTCTAAATTTTTCCATTTCAGTACAATAATTTTATTCCAAATACGAGCAGGAACTGGGGAAAAAATTAAAAAGTATATTTTAACGCATTTTAGTCCCATATAAGTCCAAGTGCATGCATTTTCTTTATGTGAAGAATCCAATCAATACACTTTTCCCGATCTCTAGCATTTTAACGAGCTGTAAATATATCGCATATGCTTACAATTACTCCAGACATTTTTTTCCAACTCGTTAGTATCTCTCACTCATTAGCGTTAATAACAGTCTCGATGAATTTCGACGTCCTCCAGTTGGGCTGCAAATGAATATAAAAAAATGGTGTGCTCAATCCGGACGCCCTATCTCAGGAGCATCGGGTGCCTATAAACAGGAACTTTTTTCCCATTTAGCCCATTAACGTGAATCTCGTTCCACCCCACTTTGCCGAGTTCAACGCTAGTATTGCTGCACTCCCACCCTTTCAAGCAAGCACAGTAAGATCTAGTACGCTTTTCACGTAAATGGGTTCAATAACATGGGTCCTTAAGCTGCTCCCACGGGAATAGCAGTTATGATTTTCTTCTTAGAAACCTCAAGCATGCTTTCTGAATTTGAAACTCGCGCAAATCCACAGAATTGTAATGAATATGGAATTGTATGTTTCGTCACTGTGTCGAATTAGTATATTTCGTAACGAGTGCTAAAAAACATTTTTTCACGAGTTACGAACAATATTTTTCATCACAATGTGGCGGAAATTGGATTTTTAGGCACGCGGAGCGTGCCGAAAAGTTCACTTTTCGTCACAGCGTGATGAAAAATATTTTTCTGGTGAATATAGGCAGCCCGAAAAATGATTTATTCAAATCAAATGAGTGAGTTTATTTAAATACTACGAAATAAATTTTTTTATTTAAGGCCCAGGTGTACTATCTTTCGAATGTTATCTCGATGTTTTCTTTTCATCTTTCGTCATCTGAAATTGTCAATCAAGTTCTGCATCATGCAGCAGTTTTGAAAAGTTATGACTGAATAATGAAAAAAAAGTAGAAAAAATTCTTAATCTTTTCAAAAAGCATTTTTAATTTATATTCAGAATAAGTGGAATAACAAGAAATTGAAAAATGTATCTGATTTACGGTGACAAATGGCGGCCTGTCACCCAATATCATGCAGGGGGAAGACTGATTTCGTAAATCGTTTTCCACACTGCACAGAGACATTTATTACGGAAAAGGCTCTTTGAAAAAAGTTGTAATATTTTGGAGAATTTTTTAATCACACTTTTATCACATAATAATGGCAGATGACTACATACCACTGTTTTGAAAATTGAGATACCTAGCTGTCACTTCCCATGGGGAGTTGGTATTTTGTTATCCACCATGGAAAATAACAGCTAATAGATAATTTGCCACGGCGAATCAGATATTTGTAATTCCCACTTTTTTCAACTCATTCTGAATCTCAATTAAAAACGCTCTTTGAAAAAGTTCAAAATTTTTTCTATTTTTTTAATCATTCTATCATAATTTTTGGGAATTTCTACATGATGTACCACTCAATTGACAATTTTGGATTACGAAAGATGAAAAAAATCCAGGTAACATTCGAAAGATAGTACACCCGGGCCTTGAATTGAACATTTTTTCTTTATTTGAGATTTTTGCAATATTAAAAAAATAAGTTATTTCATTATTAATAAATCTTTATTTGATCCAAACAAATTTTTCTTTAATAGTAAATGAAGAATTTTCTTATATTAAGAGCCGGTTGCGCCGACGCCTTTGATATTTCGCTGAAGAAATCAGTAGTGATATTAGATCATATTTTCTCGCAGTGTATTTTACACGATTTTTTAATTTTTTTTTTCTGCGACTTTCCATTCTCTGCTTATCAAGTTTTACAGGAAAAATAATTCAACTTTTTCCGGCCAATATTTACTCACAGTGGGGAGGAAGTTACCATAATCGGCTTAAAAATGAGTATAAAAGTTGCTAAATGTCATAAAAGGATTTTCCTCGGAGTGTTACAGTTAATGGCCCGAACTTTTGATTTCACGGTAGCATTTTATCGTGCACTCTTGATGATAAAAACAATGTATACCTTGGAGATGTATTTATCCCGCGAATAATTCATATTAAGTGTTAAAGAAGTGTAGGCAATTCTTGAGATACGATTTTTATTGTCGTGATATACCTAGAGAACGCTTTATGGCCTTCCATACAGACCTCCTTGTACCGACGACTTCACTGTTTCAAAAACTAACTTTATGATCATAAAGCCATTCATCCAAATCTATAGGGAACACTTCAGAGAGACAATCCTCCTTTTTTTGGGGGGAGAATGGTACATTAGAGCACTACACTGTTAGACATTTTTGAAATTTCATGGAAGACATTACAGTAAATCTCATGAGAGTAAAGTTAAATCGAATTTTGGGATAACCGTGGTTATGAAATTTGAAGTTTTAAATAGAATTCACGGAAATTTATGAGTTTTCAGTGGGAGTGAGATGGAAATTTTACAACTTGATTGAATTTTCAGCGGAACATGAATATTCAGAAACAAAATTATATGAATTTTCAATTTTTCCTTGAATTTTCCTGATTTTTCTGAATTTCCACAGAATAATTGAACTGAAAAGTCAAGTGTTTTGTCGATTTCCAGATCATTTGAACAGAATATCAATGGAATATTTGATTTTTCAATGACAAGATTTCCTGAAATTTCCGTGGAACTTGAACGAGACAAAAATTTCCGGAATTTGGTACGGAAAATTCAGACAAAAATTTTTAACAGTATACATCAAAATTTCGTGTGAATAAGTGATGGTTAAAAATTTCAAGATATTTTACTTCAAATTTCAGGAGGAATTTTCTAGCAGTGCGCATGACATTTAATACATAACCCTAGTATGGTCACCAGACGCGACAGTGCGACATTGGTTACAGCCGCGGGGATTCCCCTTCCTGTTATTTAGGCTTTAGCGTTGCCGAGTTCACTCTACCCTGTTCTGGTGCGTTTAGCGAGTTTCCAGCAACATCGCGTCATGGGCAACTTCATTTAAAATGGGAAAAAATTATTCAGTAGCATAAGTCGTAAAACGGTTTAAGTCGACTTATCTCCCAGTTGAATTTTTGAGGAATATTTTCGAATCTAAGGGAGATAGCGAAATTTTTGTAACTAGATTTGTTGTAGCTCTCAATTGGCTCAAAAAAAATTTTATAACAAAAATTCTGCTACCTCGCTTAGACTCCGAGATATTCATTGAAAACTAGTCAATAGTCAAAATTGACTTGCACCGTTTTACCATTTCGCTACTGAATTCATCTGTCTGAAATAATTTCTTTTCTTTAGGAATTTTGGGAACTATGTTGTTCTAAAAACTATTATAATTTTTTCGACACTTCAATTGACCAATTTTTTATTTTATTTTTCCGGTTAGCCGGTCAATTGTAATTAAAGAAAAACGACGCGCGGCGGTGTTTCCCTCATAGGGTGACCAATCTAGGGATAATGAAAGCGAAATTGATCAGCTCCAGGGATAGTCATATCCATAAATCATAATTACTGCTAAATTTAGACCCCGTCATTTAGTTAATATTGCTCTTAAATTTTTAAATATTTTATTAACCAATAATTTAGGTAGTAAGATTGCTGATTATTCGGTCAATCGATAATCCCCTTCAGAAATTAGAATTATTTACTGAATGGAAAATTAAAAATTCCATATCAAATATTTAATTCATCATTAATCAGAAAATTTACATTATCAATATTAAACTATTTTTAACCTTTGATATATATATTTGTGTACGTCCACGTGAAAAGGGCCCACTTTGTCGCATCTAGTTTCCGAGATATTCACGTTTTTCTCTCCACATCACCCATTTAAACCAATGTTAAATTGTTTTTTTGATCGTCTATACTGACGTCAGTTTTCATTCTATCGGGTTGATTTTGGGCTCAAAATGTGAGAAATCTGATCAAGATTATCGGAACATATATAACTCCAATACCGTCAAAGTGGGCCCTTTTCATGTGGACGCCCACATTTAAACCTTTACCAACCTAAGTCGCAAATCCTTTTCATTAATATTGATGAAATTTACCATTGATGGCCATTCTTGATCAGTTCCCACAACGCATTCTCAATTTTATCGACTCACACCTCCGTCTTGAATTCAACGAAATCTGCACAACAACTTTCCCAGTGCTATTCCCTTCCTTTTACGATTCTATCCGAACACACTTCATGATCTACGCGACGGGATAAAACATTCTCAATTTAATTTCGACATTATTGCCTGCTCCAATGCATCGATAACAGCGCGGAGCCATTTGCTCTCGCATATCACTTTCATCCCTAATGGATTTGACCATTAAATCCTGTCATTCGATCTGGAGAACTGGAAAAATGCTGTTTCCCGCGTTTCAAAGAAGTTCACGGAATTTCGTAAATACCTCTTCTTCACCCCACTCAGACTGTTCAAACGATAACAAGGGAGTGACTGTAAGTGATGAGTGCTCTGCTCACAGTTTGGGAAGAGTTTCGACAGTTTTCCCTTCTGCTCTTTCACTCTGTCACTCAAAGCACAGCACCCAGACTGCCACCTAAACAAGTAAAAGGATAGATAGGGAGAACTTTTCCTCGCGCTTCAATAAGATTTTCATCAAAAAAATTCAGTACGATGGATTGTGCATTCTTGATTCATAACTTTGGTGAAATTTATGGGAGGGAATGTATCAAAAATTTATGTTCGAATAACAAAATTCATCATCAGAAGTCGGCCGTTTTTTTTCTCCCCTGGAACTTCAAGTGTACAGTTTCAAGTTTAAAAGCACTGAGATTTCATCGAGTTTTCTCTCATCCCCGAAAAGAAAAATCGCCGTGTGAACTTTGGCTAATAAACTACCCAAACTACTTTTATAGCAGCGTCTTTTATTAAGGACTAACGGAAATCGTTGAGATGCAGCACCTCCTCTGGAATAACTCATACCAAATTTCATTATCACCATCGAAATAACTAACCCAACGTCAGTGTATTTTCCAGAGAGAGAAAAGTTTGGTGAAAATTATACTGCCGTTTTATAAAAGTGCATCATGACTCATTTTTTCCTCATTCTCATCCTGAAATTTATAAAATATTGAATATTGAAAAATGAAATTTGAAGCATTAACACAAATTTTATTCTCCGTTAGGAGAATTCTCATAATTACAAGAATTATTAAGATGGCATATCTTTTGCCTGGGGCACACTAAGTTTTATCCTTTGAATAATAATTTTTATAGGCATCGCAATTCAATTTATTTTTGTTGATGTTAGAACAGATTTATTTGTTTTGCATCTACACTAGCCTTTCTTCTCATATAATTCATATAATCAAGTAAAACTCTTTATTTGGAATTTTTCTAAATTGAGCTCCAAATAAATGATATATATTGATGAATTCGTTTTCTTCGAATAAAAAATAATAATTCTATTTCTAATTGAAATGAATATTTCTAAATTTAAAAATCTGGATTTACATGAAGAAAATATTGATTCATATTAAAAACAAATCTGGTGATTTAATGGGAAAAACACAGTGAATAATCATCGATTTTACTTTACGCACAAGTGATGAAATACACTATTCCGTATTTTTCTACCTATAACACAATCTAGCGACACTCCAACTGATGTTTTTATTCCTCTCCAGGTACTGGTGAACTTTTCTACTGGGAGTGAAGACGATTGCTCAGATTTGCGGTCCAATTCGAGAAGAAGGATAAATCTCAACTCGCAGCATAGCGTGGATGGCATTCACATGGATACATTTTGATGAAAAAAAATATATATTCTGGAGAATGGCAAACGAAATGGAATAAATCATGTCACGACTTCGTAATCTTTTTTTATTGTCTTCTGCTGCTGCAGCGGAGCGCTTTCCATTTCTAAAGAATGGAGGAGTATTTTTTACGATGGGTTGGGTTGAAATGGTTGAAAACATTGTTGAATGAAGGGATGCAGTTGTAATAAAATGACGACCTATATTCGTGTAGTCATCGATTGTTATGGGGCGGGGGGAGGGAAGGGGAGTGGTGGATTCATTAGTGAAGTATTGGAATATATCAATTCGACTTTTTATATCTCATTACGAAGTCGAGACGATCGGGTATTAAATAAGTGGTATAGAAAGTTCAAAATTTACTGATTTTTTTCTATGAGATATTTTCTATTGAAAAAAAATTCCTATTTGAAAAAAAAAACGCAGAAAAGCTGTCGAATTTGCCAATAAAATCATCGAAAAACTCACAGGCTTTAAAATACAGGTCCAATAGAATTTTTCCAGATGAATTTGGCTAAATTTTCCGGAAAACGACATTGAATTCGATTTAAGGAGAACAAGTCAATGAAATTTCAAGTTTCTCTGAAAAATCAAGTGAAGTCCCATTTTTTAGCGACAGGAATACGAAAATTCCCCAATTGATGTGAATTTTTAATTGAAAAATGAATATTCACTGCCAAATTCCCTTAAAATTTCAGGGAATTCCTTTAAAATTCTTGGAATTTTAAGAATTTATGAAGGAATCTCAGGAAAATTCAGAGGAATCTTGAATTCAAGGGGAGATTTCTCTGAATTTCCCAGATTTGTCATAAGTTCTCCCGGAATAATTGAACTGAATTTTACAGTTTCCACGGATTGTTTCATGAAATTATAGAGAAAGCCAAAAATTTCGAAATTTACATGCATTTTCCAGTGAAAATGAATATTTACTGCCGATTTTCCTTGAATTTTCAGGGAATTCTTTTGAAACGCCTAGAATTCCAGGAATCTTTAAAGGAACTTCCCGCAAATTCGGAGGAATCGGAACCTGACGGAGAGATTTCTCTGAATTTTCCTGATTTTTCATTAATTTCCCCACAGATTTTTCCATGAAATTATGAATTTTCAGTGACAAAATTCCCTGAAATTTCACTGGAAATATTAGTTGTGAGAAATTTTCAAGAGACTTACCGGAAATTTCAGTGAAAAATATTTAACATTGCGTGTGGAGCACAAAAAAGCAATCGTGAGCCCTCCAGAAATAATTTTTGATTGAATGTTCCGCGATTTTCCGAATCATTTTTTGTCAACTTGTCCCTCCATATACCAACAATCCTCCCGCGACAACAGGCAGCATGCATAATAGAAAAGAAATACATTTTGTAACTCCCATGCTCCTATTATCAAACAACAAACAACCGTTGTGGTATCTAAGTTATAATATCACTTCCCGTCTCTTTGTTTTCAACTCCTTCGTATTTTTATAACCCCCCCATTGCGGTATTCTTTTGTATCCTTTGTTGGAGCCACACCCAATTCACTAGCTGTGGAGTACGGGTTGAGTGTAACCAAATTCAATTTATCCCTCCAGAGTCTATTCGGTTTGAATAATTCTCGTTGATTAAGGGAAAATAACAATTCCACAAGATGTCTCGATACATTCGTGCAGTTACACCTGAACGCGAGTGCATGGAAATTTGAGCCGATCATCAATTATAAGTTGAGGATTTTGTCAACTCGTGAGAAAGAATTCGATGATCGTGTCCAGAGATTTATGGGAAACAATTGTACCATCTTGGAGACACTTTGTTGCTCGCTGGGTGTCCCCTGTGGGTCAAATGATCGTACCATCTACTGCCAGAGTCCGCAGGGAAGATAAACTTTTATTATTGGTGGGTGGATAGCACCGTGTGTCTTCCCAAGTTCAATTTTCTTCGCTTCAAGGACTCGTTTCACGCGCTGTGTAAAAACTTGCCGCCATCCATTACACGAATAAGGAGAATTTCTACGAGCGGAAAATTGAAGATGGGACAGGGAACAAAATTCATTTGTTGTACATGAGAGTAAATTCAGTAACATTGCTTCGCACTGGATCGCCTCCGCTGCGCAATTTTTTTTTCTTATAATTCCATAATTTCCGATTTAAACGCGGAGGAAACTTCGTGAAAACATTACGTGGTAAAACGTGGAAGTGAGGCGATGTGCCTTTTGTATTTTCATGTAAAAACAGGGGAAAATGCGGAGCAAAAATGAATTTTACCGCTTGAATTCTGGAAATTTTATGGATCGGAAAAGACGGAGAAACGAAAAAGTTTTGATTTTAGGAGACGTCATCGATTTTTAAGAACGTGTCTCTGATTTACTGGGATAGCTCACTGAATTATGAATCAGTTGAGTGCTAAATTGAGGATGAAGTTTTTTAGTCTGTCCAATCGTTCAATTAAGGGAAGGTTCACCCCGGGAAAAAACTTTTTTAGTTTTCGAGAAAAAAATACTTTAATTCTATTCTCCGGGTGATTTTTCCTCGGGAATTTGATTTTGTGAGTTGAATTTGTCTCCCACCGCTGAAAATGAGGGATTCTAATTTTTTTTAATCGAAAAATCAACTTTAAAAAATCCCAAACGTATTTTTAAAAATAGTTTTTTCAATGTGGCCACAAATTTTCGATCTTTGGTTATGAATAATGCGGGAGAAGAATTTTTTTTAGTTTATTGGTGAATCCACAAAGTCGTTATTTTTAATGGATCGATTATATTCTCACAAATTAGAATGAGTGAATGTCTCTGAGATGAAATCAATTCGAAATCACGTTGAAATCATCGAAATCCCTGAAATCACCTGATTTCAACTCTCTGAAATCATTTCCGAAAATACACTGAAGTCTTGAAATCATGTCGAAGTCAGTTAAAATTAATGAACGTTTTGTCAGAGAATGCAAGGAACTTTATTCATCGCGATTTCAATTATTTCATTGCCTCTAAAATCCCTGATTTCGAATCTGTGAAATCATTCGAAGTCAGCCGCAGTCATCGATTTCATTTCTTTCGAAATTACTGAAATCAACCCTTAAATCTCGTGAACTCGACTTCACTTGCCGCTTCAATGTTCCTCGGGTATTTCTGAAAAAATCAGTAGATCAGGGCGACCATAGCCAGACCAAATTGAATTTTTCTCTTTACTTCTCATGTCCTCACGCCGTAAAATCCTCACAACCGTGATACGACTAACAGAAATAGGAGCATATTCCGTGGCGAAAACATCCAACATAAAAAATGAATAAACGTACTTCTAGTAAAGAAAATTGTGTTAGTTCGAAACAAGATTGAAGGCGTGTCGAACGGAAGACTCAATTATCTCCTAATTTTTATTCTCGTGGGAGCAAGACGGGTAGACGGTGAGAGGTCGTAAACGCGTATATGTAGAGAGTAAATTTTTCTAGAAAAATCCATGTGCACATGGCATCGTAAACGAGTCACAATCCGCACACTTGGGATGATTATTGGAAAAATTGTTCCCCCAAATAATTTTTCCGGTGCTACACAATAATTTTTTTGGTGTAGCATGACTATTTTTCTGGTGCTGCACAAGAATTCTTCTGGTGCTAAACAATATTTTTTTTAAGTGTAAAAATTGTGACTGTTTATGGTGCTAGCGGATTATTTTCTAGAAAAATTTATGACAAAATACTATTTGAATTACGAGTATGGCTCAGCGCCATTAGCCATACTTTTGAGAGACTCTTCGAGAGAGACTGTGCAAAACTGTTGAGAAAGTGCTATCGAGGGTGTCGAAATTCCTTGAAATTTCCGAAGAACTGTTAATGTGATGAAAATTGCCAAGAAGTTTACTGAGAATTTAGGTCAAAAATGTATGTAAAGTGTAGTTTCTAATTTCCACTGATGAAATATAGAAAATGAAATGATATGTGAATAATTTTTTAAGTATAAAACATGAAATGATTTGGAAAAATCTATCGACATTTTTCCGAAATTATTTCACTTTACATTTCATTTAAAATTGGATTTGATTTATTTAGGATTTTATTGTTTATTTCGGATTTTATGTCATTCATTGGGATTATGTCTCCGCCAGACCTCAATGAAGATGATGAGGACTAGGATTAGAAAATATTACCAACTATTGGCTGAAATCCATCGGGCGATGGCCTATTGTAAGAAAATAATTTTTTTTGTGTATTTTTCTTGCAATAAATTTTGTTAAAACATGAAAAAATTCCAAATTTTTTTTCCAAATGAAGCTGAAACTAGCAGAATATTCTTCAGCGGAAAATTCATTTTAGGGGATATTTAAGTGTAGGGGAGTCAAATAATCATATGTACAAATGTTTTTTAAGTGCGAACAAGTTTATACATTACTTAAAAACATTTGTATGCCCCTAGATTCGCCTAAGACAAATGTCTTCTGCTGTCGAATCTTTGGCTAGTTGCAGCTTCGTTATTCTCAACTAATATTTACGATGATATCCTTCTTCACTCAGATAAACAAATTCAATTTCATGTACATGTGAATAGAGAAATAGTGCAACAAAATAGTGAATGGCACTTCATTTTTCATTCCGGTGGAATGAAATATCAAATGTCTACTTTATTTCAATTCCAGAAGGGCGAATGAATAAAGACCATTTCGATCGAAATAGTCAACTTGGAATATCTATTGAGAACAATATTACCTTTTGATTTTCGTGGAATAGTCCTGTGCTCTGATATGAATCCATATTTATAGCAAGGATTCGTGAACACCTCTCGTACATATCACGTCAACACACTCCGAAGAAAATAGAAAAGAGTTGTGTTATGGAGGAGAATCGCTTGTTTCATTGTTGCAAAAACCCAGTAATATTTTACTCATTGTACATTACTTAAAAACATGTGTACAAAAATTTGTACAAATATTTGTTTGTTTGTAATGTTTTTTAAGTGCGGAAAAGTTTGTACATTACTTAAAAACATTTGTATGCCCCTAGATTCGCCTAAGACAAATGTCTTCTGCTGTCGAATCTGGCTAGTTTCAGCTTCGTTATTCTCAACTAATATTTACGATGATATCCTTCTTCACTCAG